TCTGGCTTGTTGCACACAACTTCCCAATGGGTTGTGCCAGCTCCCCAATCTGCAATTTCTACAGGTCTCTCGTGCTCCATGCATCAAATATGTGGGGACTGGATTCTTGCAGGTGGCAGCAGCTTCATTTCCAATGTTAAACGAATTGATCTTGGATGAAATGGTTGAATGGGAGGAGTGGGAGTGGGAGGAGCAAGTACAAGCCATGCGCCATTTGGAGAAACTTGTGCTCAGTACATGCAGACTGAGGCATGTTCCTCCAGGCCTTGCCTCCAATACAAGATCTTTGAAAATATTAGATCTAAATTATGTCGAGCACCTCAGCTACATTGAGAGCTTTCCTTCTGTTGTTGAGCTTATAGTGAATGATTGCCCCGACCTGGAGAGGATCACCAATATCCCCAATCTGCAGAAGCTTAACATCCAGAACTGCCAAAAGTTGAAGGTGCTGGAGCATATCGCTTCACTCGAGCGGATGGTCCTGGAGGACTACTCCATGGAAAAACTCCCAGAATACATGCGGGACATAAAGCCAAGGAATTTGCAGTTATTTTGCAGGCTATGGTTGCTCTCTGCGGTAGCCGCGGGACAATCTGGCACTGAGTGGGACAAGTTCAGCCAAGTGAAGCATGTCAAGGCATATGCACGTGATGGAGACAACCAAAGAAAATGGTACGTTTTGTACACGAGAGGAGACAACTGCAAGTTGGATTCAAATATTAGCAGCTCTACCATATTTGAAGGTACAGAAAATCAAACATACGTACAAGCTTTGTCTTAATTTGTTTGAGCACTCTTTCGGCCAGTTTATAGGTTCATTTGATTTTATCTCCTGCTTTTTGTCCATATATACTGCATGATGGCCAGATATATTCTGCACCGTCCTAGTGCATGTTGCTGAGTATTTGTCTTCTTACTTATTCTTCTAGTTTTTCTCGAGTTTAACATATCTAGAGTATCATGTAACCAGTTTTGTATTTTTTTTGCCATGCAGAACCCTTATCATCTTGTATGGTGGACCAACAAGGATTTGAGTCTCTGTACAAAATGAGAAGAAGCACCTTCAGTTATGTTTGCAGCTTGGTGAGGATCCCATTTTTTGAAGATATGATGGCAAGGGAGCCCACCTTTGTCGATGGGAGAGTGTTGTCTTTACAAGACAGGGTGGCTGCCGCTCTGAGAATGCTGAACTCTGGTGGCTCTCTGGTTACCGTGGGATCTGCTCTTGGTGTGAGTGAGTCAACTGTATCGATGGTAACTCAGGTGTTTGTTAAGGCTATGTGGGACCGAGCAATGCACCATTGCAGCTGGCCTGGCTCCACTAAAATGGAGAAGATCAAGCACAAGTTTGATAAGATCCACGGCCTGCCAAACTGCTGTGGTGTTGCACACACAGCTCTGATCACCTTTGGATCACAAAACCGTGGCCATGGGGAGAATGGTAGTGTGCTAACGAAATTTGTCATTGATCTGGATATGAGGTTCGTAGATATTTGGTTGGACTGTGATCTCTTGAAGTTCTTTGAGGAGGGTGCTTTGCTCAATGGTATTCATCGGTTGAATGGCAGTAGCCTGAAGTTATCAGATGGCTTGGAGGTTGGGGAATACATCATTGGTGACGCAGGATACCCTCTTCGTCCCTGGCTCCTCACACCATACGAGTTGGAGAATGGCCTCTCAGTCTCAGACGCCAAAGTTGAGTTCAACAGAAGACACTCTGCTTCTACAGCTGCTACGCTGAGGGCACTAACAAGGTTGAAAGACACGTGGAAGTGCCTACAGGGAGAAGGGTGGCATCCAAATAATCAATGTGAGATGCACCAGACAATCCACACGTGTTGTGTGTTGCATAACTTAGGGATAGAGATGGTGGAGGGTGGAGGCATGCCGAGCAATCAGGAGGAGAAATACATGGAGCAAGTACGGCAGTTAGCAGAAGAGGACGCCGTCAGGGTGAGGGATGCACTGTCCCAGTACATGATCAATTCTGGAGGTAAAATAACACAGCTCTTAATAATATATCTGTATGAATTTCTGCTTTACCTATTCATTTTATTGTTTCCATCTTTCCTCTGTTGTTGGTCAGTACATCCAATGGCAGCAGAGGAGGAACGAGAAGGGGTAGCAGCTGCATCCGGTTCGGGAGAGGAAAACAAGGAACCACAAACATCAGATCAAGGAAAGGAGAAGGTGGATGAGAGCTAGCTAGCTAGGGAGATGGTCCTGTCCAGTGGATCAATTTGGTATTAATCCAACTGTTTCTGCTATTATTAACTGTGCATCAAGTGGCTATATATGGCGCTACTTAATTAATATCAGTTGGAACCATCAAATCCCTCCGTGATATGTACAAATATACTTGGAAATAAACTAAGCTGATCGATACTTGCACCTGTTATATTAGCAATGTGCTAGGCAGAACATTAATTACGTATTAAGAGTTTATTAGGACTGGTTCTTATGTATTTTTGCCCTCTCTGTTTGTGTAGGCTTCTGGCAATGGAGGCAGAGTGATGCTGCAACACGAATTGTGTATGTCGTATCTTCCAGGAAAGACAAGTATTGTGTATGTCGTATATTATTGACTGACTAATTGTAATTCTATCTCAACTTTTATGCACTGAGAGAGCGATTCATAGTGTGGCTTATGTATAGCTACAGCAAATTCAGAACGTGTGTCGTATATATGTTTATGTATGAGTCATGGGCATGGTTGATTCAGTTGTAGCAGCTGTTAGGATACGTCGCGGTGATGTGGGAGGCATGACAGTACTGTAGGTGTAGTAGTTTGATTTGTGACCTGTTGATCACCAGACCAGATTTGGCATTCAGCTGCGCTGTAGCATAAGCGGCATTATCGCACAAGTATCTTGTTAGCTAGCTTAGGTTCAGTTTTCTGTCGAGAATTTTCACCACTGTGCATGGATTGTAAATAAACTTGGGTGATGCAGTCCATGTTGGCAGATTGCTTCTCTACAAGTCTTGCGCGGTTGTACATACATGGTGGTTGGATCATATGGATGTGGACTGAATGTATCTTCAGCTCACATCACACCGATGGAACTGTTTTCAGAAGAAAAAAGGATGCTCGTCCCTGAGGCCTCAACTGTGTAATGGTGCCATATACAGATGGTGTCGACCATGGCCTCGTCGATATGACCCTAAAGCAAACTCGCTGCCATGAAGTGTTCTTCTGTTGAATTCACAACAAAGAAGAGAGCAGAGTTTAAGTTTCATGTTTTATTGCAGCTACGCCCATGTTGTTATTCTTCCCAAAATCAATTAATCGGGGATTCAGTTCACAGGGAAGAGAAGTGTTGACATATTTTATTTTATTTTGCGATAGAAAGAGAAGTGTTGATTAGTCTAACGGTTCGCCAATTGCCTGGAGGTTAAATTGGGCCAAAAAAACACAGTTCAATTTGCTTAGTCAGGTTGGTCTGCTATTTTATTTTTTTGAGGGGTTGCTCTGCTCAATTTGTTTAGTGCAGATGAGCAACTGGGTTTCTACCGCACACATTAATGCTCAGTTTCAGGTTCAGTAGTTAGCAGTTCCATACGTGATTTGGACCTGGGATCTCATCGCCAGCCCTGTCGAGTAAGCATCAGTGTTAGACTGTAGCCGAACTTGCGCTCAAGATCCCGTGAAGATAATATCTACAGAGTGCTTCTGAAGCGTTTTTCATAAAACTTGTTTTTTCATCTTGTTTTGATAGATTCACTCTGCCCAAATGAGAACATCTGCAAACGCAGCCGCATCAACAGTGGCTGAGAATGACAATCCGTATGTGCAGAGTGTTTTGTGAGATGGAGTTGAAGATCAACTAACTGACCTGGCATTCATTCATTCACCCGGAATGATGCAATGAATGAAGGAAATCCAGAGTTGAGAGATGACACTACTGGCTAGGAGCCGTTAGCATTCTGGAGATGCCACCTCGCTCTCGCTGTGTTGATGACAGTAAGTCTTGACATGAAGGAGAATTGCCAGACACTTGTTGGCTTGTAGACTGTTCGAGCGTGGATCGGAGCTGGAGCTATAAATTTGGTCAAGTGCTCCTACATTTGAATTTGTTCTAACCTGGTCAAGTGGTAGTATGCCTTTATAAATTCCCTCACCATGTTGGTTCCAACTTCAGAGAATTGCCGCAGAGCAACTCGGTTTGGCATTCCCTTTCTCTGCTACAATAATCATTTTCAGTTTCATCTTCGGTTGTTGGCATTTTCTTCTGCTCCTACTAGTACTAGCAAAATTGATCTTCTTATAGAGTTGTGATTCGAAAGTTCCCTGCATCCTCCATATCAAAGTCTGTTCTGTTATTCTCGAAAGGAAATGTGTGTTCTCTTGTACGTGTTGAAGTTGTGCATCTTGCTTCTCTGCCAGTCTGTGTGTTGGGCATGATGGTTGGATGTATCTTCAGTTTACACGGATGGAACTTGCTTGATTCAGAAGAAAAGAATGCTCGTCGATCCTGAAGGCAGAACTGGGTAACGGTGCTACGGGCATTCGACCAGGCAGAGCACAACTGGGCCCTTGTTGATCTGACTCTGCATTAAGCAAACTCGCTGGCACGAAGTGGCCCCCTTCCTTTGCCCACGGTCGTCGATCGAATTTGCATCGAAACACTTCGTCCATTCATTCAAAAGAAGAACTAACATTGTTATTTGTTATTGCTTACTCGAGTTCACATGGTACGAGAAGAAGGTGCAAGTAGAGGGTGATACAAGCCAGTCTCCTTTCACTGAATTCTTTGATACGGTCGTCCCGGGCAGCTTCAACAAGCAGTTTCTTGGACACTTGGAGGTAGCTAATGTTGGCATCCTAAGCAAGGATGATGCAGCAGAAGCAGAACTGAAGAATAAGAATGATCTTGACCAGTTGACACTGAAGGTGTGCATCCACGGAGGCCTCAAACAATCCAGGATAATGAGTTAGAACTGCTTCAAATTCTGCAACCTCCTATAACTCTCAAGTCTCTGTTCCTCCAGAATTATGCGAGATGTTAGCATCGGCAACAACTGAAAAGTTTGGGGATTTCCATTTCCTTGAAGAACTGCAAATGGTCCGTTGTCCAAACATTTGCACCCAAAGATTGGTATCGCCGTCCCTTAAGAAGCTCAGCATCTGGGGTTCTGGCCTCTTTAGCCACATTGAGTGGTGCTCCCTCACCTACTTTCATTTGAAATATGAGTTTGTCATGTCCATCCAATTACAAATGTGGTGTCTTCCAGCTCTACGGAAGTTGCACATTGAGTGCATATCTCTTACATCAATTGGAGGCTCCGCAAACCTTTCCATTTCTGCAGACACGGGCAGCATTACTACATTCTCATCCCTTAATGTCCTAACAGTTACATGCTGTGATAAATTGTCAACCCTTGATGGCTCCTAACACAAGAATACCTACCTTCTATTGAGTAGTACATTCATCGTATCACTGAAAAATCTTGATACCTAGTGCATGGTCGTATATGTGATCTGATAATACTTTTGAACTATACCAGTAAGTAACAGGGTTTCATCCAAATTAAACTGTACCGGGCATATACTGGATGGATAGCTCATGCATGGTTTGTTCGTCCACCTCTCTTGCTAAATGGACGGCTCATGGTTTTGTGTAGCGGAAATTTTGAAGAAAATTGGGTACCCTTTTTGATTCTGAACCATTCAAATAAAGCTCCACATGCTTCATCACCTTGAAATTTTTTTGGTCTCTGTTGTTATGCAAGATAAGCATGCCTCATGTATGTTCGTCTTTTGTTGGTCTAGTTCTTCAGTGTCCCAGTGTAAATTTACTTTAGAAGTTCATGATAAAGCCAAAGTTTGTCTGATGTCGCTATTAAATATTTTTCCAAGTTGAGCTGCAAGATGCCACTCCTGGAATAAGCGACTCTTCACTAGGCAAGTTTAGGACAACTTCTATTGCACAACTGAACTATACATTGGTAAAGATTTTGCTAAAAGATGTGTTGTTTCCCACTATCTGCAACAAGAGCTCAGTACCTGCTTCTCTTTTTTTTTGTTTCTTTCTTTTCCACTATCATCACTAGCCCTTTTGTAATTTCCAAGAAACATCGATCCAGTTCTGAAAGGTATGGCAAAGAAAAAAATTATGATCTCATATGCCTTCAATTTACAGGATATATATGGCAATTGACAATAGCAAATGGGTAATATGTTGTGCATTAAAGGAACAACAATTATGACAGAATATGACATTGTGAAACACAGAGGAAATGGGGGATAAGACAAATTGTAGCAGTTTGCGCGTGAAGATAGGTCACCTTACCTGCTTCTCCTTCTTTTTTTTTTCATCACCATCACTGTCCTGTCATGGTTTCCAAGAACAAGCTGGAGTAGGTAGGCTACATCGCTACCTGAACATATAGAGGTTAACTAACTGCCTTAAGGCATAATCAGCAGTAAACATAGGTTAACCAACATGTTTCATCCTCCTCAAAGAAAAGGAAGAACAATTGCATCTGAATCGGACGGGTGACCCGAATTGAGTTGTCAATGCAAGAATCAGTGGGTTTTTTTTTTTGAACCGGGCTAACCCCCTTTCAATTACTTAGAACGGAAATACATCAGTCTGTAACAGAGAGAAGTCTAAGAACAGGGAGAAGGGGAGAGCGAGTTCAACGCACTACTAGGAAACCCACCGCACTCGCCCGCCATCGAAATGAGTGCTATGGGGCGAAAACCTAGTAGCACCAGTAAACTAGACCTACTACAAAACATAGCCACATAACCACAAGTTTTCAGATGATAAGTATCTGGGAACTGTAGCCCACTCAGTAGGCATCCTCTGCCGAACAAGCAAAGAAACATCAAAACATGGCCGCTGGGGAGATCTGCTTCATTCTCCAATCTTGATTGTCGCATCACAGGCCCTCATCAGCATTAGAGTCCCATTGCGAATCATCTCCGCCCTTGCTCGAAGTTGCTTGACGTCGTCTCCAATCTGTAGACCTGCCCAATATAGAAGAAAGGAAACCACCGTAAAAACAATCTCGAAAGGGGATTTAATCTTCTTCTTCTCAAAGGTAGCACTATTCCGTGCCAGCCAAATAGACCATGTAACCGCACCCAAAGCCACAGTATAGAAGGACTCATATCCAGGCAGGAAAGAGTATCACCACACAAAGAATTGCCAGCAGTTTCGGGGGCACAGGTCAGTCCCAAGTGTCACCCCAATAGATCGCCAAACGACTCTGGCAATGGGACAGTCAAAAAACAAATGCTGAGAAGTTTCAGTTTGTTGGCAGAAGGAACACACAGGGTTCCTAGGCCACTTACGTTGTCGCATCACTTGTCTAGTCAGAATTGCATCTTGCGAAAGTTGCCAAAGGAAGATTTGAATTTTAAGGGGAATTTTGGCTTTCCAAATCCACCTAAAGTTGCACCAACTAAGGGGTTTTCAAGCCATTTATACATGGACTTAGTAGTATATTTGCCAGATTTATTCAGGCTCCAGTACGCCGAATCAGGGTCATCCGACAAATGCATATTGCGTACCTGATCGCGCAGGTTAGACCACTGTTCCATTAGCCCGGAGTCCAATCTTCTACGAAAGAAGTTAGCGCATGCCTAGCCCATTAGTAACAAACACCTCATCATTGTCCAGATTGTCCTGAGTGTTTGTATTTTTATCAACCAAATTGGCTCTAACTATTTCTAATTCTCTCAGTATGTTAACACAAGCAAAATCATTATCAGGAATTAAGACCCCCATATTAGATGCCCGGCTAATGAGTTCAGAGTCAACTAATGTAGCAAAAGCATTATTGTTATTGAAATTGTGTTACCTTTCAGATCTCTGGCATTGATCAGGTTTGCAGCTCTTGCTTCCACATTAATATGCTGGAGATGGCCGTTGCGCTGAGTAAATCGAAGATGCAGCTCAGGTGCAAGGGGAGGAGTAGGAATAATCTCCTCGCAGTCAGGATGAGGGAGTTGTACCGTATAATCCATGGAAATCTTCGGGTCTGGTTCTACATCTCCCATCACCTCGGAAATCTAAGCTAAGTCAGCAGATGAAGTAGAAGCATGAACGGAAAAGGCAACAACAGTTGAAGTATTCACCTGCAGAGTTTGATCAGTGGCAGTCACTTGATCAACAGGATCATGCCTGCAGTTATCACTCGCAGGAGGTAAATAAGTATCAACATGATGTGGTGTGTCAACAACCATCTCCAAGGCCATTTTCTCAATCAACAGGGGGCTATTAGCACCACTGTTCTCGCTTCCAGAAGATATACTATCATCAGGGAACTGATCTTCATCTTTTGATATACTTCCAGAAGATATACTATCATCAGGGATCATTGTCTGCTCCTTGGCGTTCCATGGGAATGAAGGAGAGAGGACGCCGTGCCGAAGGTGAGGTAGACTTCATCATATTTTAAAGGAGAGGGCTCTGGCAAGAAATGTCCCGCTACGACCGGAAACCGAGCGGGAAGGGGAGGGTGCGGCGAAAAAAGGGAAGGGTGCGCCGCATAGTGATTTGTGCGTGTTGCGACTGTGTGTTGGAGATAACATTGTGGATAGTCCGGACAATCATACTTCTCCTCGACATAAGAGCTGGTTTTGGGTAGCCCTGGCTGTCCAGACGGTTGAATTTTGGGTAGCCCCTTAGGGCGCCCGTTTGATGTCCAAATACGTCCGGACGTATGAAGAAGAAATAGGTTTCGACCTTAGAGACAACCTTAAGCATTTGTCTAATTCAGTTATATACATTGTAGTCCGTAGCAACGCACGAGCGTTCTACTAGTAGTTATTAGGGTATCTAGTCTTGATCATGTCATGTCGTGTCGCGAGCGGGGAGGTGCTATACTTCGCTTGTAGACAGCCACAAGCACGTCTCGCCTACAGAGACGGATATTGGGCTGGCCCACCAACCACGCGTTGCCTTTGCTTCGTTAAACCAGTCGCATTTGCTGCTGGTTTGGGAAAACTAGTCAACATACGCCAAAAACAGCAACGTGTGTGTAATTTTTTTGCCTGTATAAAAAAAACCCTTCCTAAACCATGTATATTGGCTCAGTCGACGTACTGTTTTCATGGTTTTTCTTTTGCTTTCTCCTTTTATATATATTAAAAATATTTTTTACTCATTTTATAAATTGTTCATCATGTATTAAAAAAATGCTCATCGTGTATTTAAATTTTTTTGTCTCATGTAAAAAATGTTCATCGTCTATATAGAAAAATGTTCATCTTGTGTTAAAATGTTTTCATCTTTTATTTCCAAAAAATATTCACAGAGCATTAAAAAATGCTCATCATGTCTTAAAACATGTATTTCAAAGAACAAAATTCATCGTGTATTAAAAAACGTTCACCATATTCTAAGAAATTGCTCATAGTGTATTTAATTAAGTGTTCATGTATTTAAAAAATATTCAGGTAATTTCCAAAAAGTTGTCTATGTGTTAAAAAAGTTTTCATATAAATAAAAAGTGCTAACATATTTAAGAAAAACACGAAGAACATTTCGGAAAATCGCGATGAGCTTTATTGGAAACATGATGAACATTTTCTAGAAAAGTAATGAACATTTTTTTAATTATGAACTAAGAGTTTTTAAAAATACATGTGGTAAATGTTTTAAAAATACGCGAGGAACATTTTGGAAACACATGATGACCAGTTTTTTTTAATGATATGAATATTTTCGAACTACACCCTTATTATTTTTTAACACATGATCAATATTTTCTAAAACAGGATCAACATTTTTTTAATAGATGGTGATTTGTTTTTAATATCAGATGAACATTTTTTAAATTCACTATGATCTTTTTGTTAGAACGTGATGACCATTTTAGTATACATGATGAACATTTTCTAAAACACATCATGAACTCTTTTTATAAACATGATGAACAATTTTACACATTTTATAAAATACATGATGGGAAAATTTTAAAAAAAGAAATATATAAATGGAAACAAAAAGGGAAATGGAAAAAAATGAGAATAAGAGTCTTAAAATACAAGATTAAACTTTTTTGCCTAAAATACGCCCTGAATATATGAACATTTTTAAATGCACCCTGAATATTTTTTGAAATACTCATTGAACATTTTTAAAAACAAGTCAACTTTTTTTTGAAGTACACATTGCATATTTTAGAAATACACGACGGAAAAAATAATATAGGAGATTATAGACTTGAGTGCAAACTATCTTGAGGGTTTGCTGCCAAACAGTTTAGAAGATCTGTGTGATTTGAAAGTACTGATATTAAATGGTAACAACGTTAACGTGAACATGGATGAGTTCATGGATCAATTTCCAAGGTGTTCATGGAATATATTGCTACAGTTGTCAGTAGTCCAAACAAATATGACTAGGAATCTGCCCGTTTGGATTGTAAACATGACCAA